GATCGTCTGAAGAGCACAGTTCTGCCTGCTGTTCTCCAGTGTCAAAAAGGAGAGGAGCCAGCCACAAGCTCTGCATTGAAACAGTGACCCTACCCAGCTCAGCTGAAGGCTGATATCAAATACACACCATAGCTACACTGCAGCACTTGGTTCTGTCCATTTTTTGTTGAACTTCAGAAAATCAAGAGCCAGAAGTTTGAAATAAAATTACTGCCTTTGGCGTTAACTAGCCCAATGCTGTGCTACACCCCATTCACAGTGGACAGCACTAGAGTGAATTTGAAGTAGATCTCAGTCTCAAAAACTCTTTGTCAGTCACATTGAAGCTGTGGCCCACAGTAGTGGTCAACTCAACAAGTCTTCATATTTACTCTGTAAGCATGGGGAAGGCACAGCTCATCCCTCTCCTTCCTTGGCAAAGCCCATAGATCACCACAGCAGTCAGAAAATTGCACATAGCCACAGCATTAGAAATATCTGTGAAGAAAATGAAAAAGATCTCACTACAAATTGTTGCTCAGTCCACCTGCCTCCTCCCCGACTGCATGCTCTACCCTTACTGACCTAATAAACCTTTAAAACACGAAGAGACTCTGTATTGACATTTTACAATGTTATCTGTCCCAGGATGGTTAATAGCGTGTGTAATGTCCTGGAAAGGAGCAAAGAGAGCCATGTGAGCTGTACCAGTGCCTCAAAGTGTGATATGTTCAGGTAAGGCATGTGGAAAGTTCAGAAGCTAGTCAGCTTGTTTTGAACTAGTCAGCACAAAACACATTTAACTGCACAAAAGTGAAATTATAAATCCATGCTCCTAGAGAGAGAGTCATACACAAAGAATGGGAAATTACCTTGGAAAACAAAGGCTCTGCAGAGGTCGTAGGAGGCAAAGCGTGCAAGTAATTACATACATGCTGTCGGTGAGGTGCTGCAGCAGAAGAACTGGATGTTCGCTTTCAACCGGAAAAAAAGAATTGTTCTGTGACATTGACAAGACCAAAATAATGATACTGTATCCAGTTCTTCAAAAGATGGTACGGAGTCATTTACAGAGAAAGCAAAAGAAAAAAGCAATCCAAGGTTTGAGGAGAGGGCTTTGCAATGAGAGACTGCAAACTCCTGGTCTTTTTAATTGAGCAAACAGGAAACAAATTATTTGATTATGCTAATTTCAGAGGAGAAAATCATTGGTACTTGAGGGCTTTTCAGCCTAGTGGAAAAGACTCAACTACATTCTGTGTCTGCAAACAGAAGCTGAACATAAAAACTACAAGTCAAGTCACACATCAATAAATGCCTCCATTTTGGAAGAACACAGAGGTCCTATTTAAGTCTTTGGAGTTCTGGGCTGACCTCGGTTTTGAATAGCCCCCACTTTAAGTCAGAGCAGTTTTGCCAGTGTTTTCGTTTTCAGCATCCTTTCTTGGGCTGCCTGTTGGCTTCCCTTCAGCCACAGGTTTCATTCCAACTCCCCTTCCCTTTGCTGTTATCATCCCCTCCATTCCCAGACTAATTTCTTTCATGCAGCGCAGTAGCAGGATTTGCAAAAGAACGATTGTAGGGTTGCTTACTGTGCCAAGACACCGGACATCTTCGTCTTGCAACAATGTTCTGTCTGTTGTGAGCTGCCAGAACAGCATAAAATCTCTTTGATATTCACAGAGACAGTAAGCCAATTCTTCCATTATTTTATTTATTTATTCAAGTTAAACTATTGTGGGTCAAAAGACTTCCCTTCCATAACTTCAATATTGCAGCTTGAGCATTGTTCTTATTGCTGTTATTCACTTAGACCTCCATCAAGTTACATTTTCTTGATAAGTGAGCATTTAAAGCAAGCATGTCCTTGTTGCAGACCCTTTTGGTTGCAACAGTAGAGGGATGCTACCCTAAAATTGTTCCTCAAAGGTATTAATAATTCATCAAGTACTGCCAAATAGGTTTCCAACTTTTTCAAGTTAAGAGTAGAAAAATGAACTCTTACTAATTTTGCTAATGTACTTGTTGTACTTGCTAATGGACCTTGTGCACTAAGAGGACTTAACACCTCCAGTAGCATTTCCCCTGAAATGAATTCAGTTCATTGTTTCCAAGTTACTTTAAATAAGAGTCTGTAATGCCTATACTGTTCTGTGTAATAATGCTCACATTGTGATCTGATAGCTGATGCTGTAAACCATTAAGATCATAAAAGTTTGCGCAGGCACTTCAAGCATCCAACATGGGATTTCACAATGTTTAAATAGGGATTAGGTAATTACTGCTTCCTGTAGCAGAGAAAGAGAAGCAACATTGTACTTTGAACATAAATAGCCAGTTTTTAGTCACAGCATTTCAAGAATATTATTTCTGCTTTGTTAAACTGGAAAGCTAAGTATAAATGTGTTTGAAAACTTGTCCAGTTCACAGGCAGCACCAGTACTGGAGGAAAAATTGAGAACTGAGTCACTTTATACTGGAAAATCTGAGTTAATGGATGATGTCAAGTACATCCACATCCTTTTGGAGAGGAAGATTCAGATGGACTCGCCATATTTTTGTTATTTTTATAGTTTTGTCACAGACCGTGACAAATTGAGAATCACAGGTAATACCTGGTAGGAAACATTTAAAGAAAATGTAATGAGGGTTAGAAGCACTTTAGAAAGTGGTATTCAAATTCAGATCTTGTCCAAGTGGAGCAATGATTTTAGCTGGGTATCATTCTGCACAACTCTGTACTACTCTACACAATTGTGTACTACTCTACACATACACTTTTCTGTACATGCATGAGTAAAAAGAGTGCATTGTTTGGGGAAGTTAAGAGTAAATTAAGGCAATATATTTCTGTAAATAAAAGAAATACTGGACAAATACATAAGACACTGGTTTCTTCCTATTGTGCTTAGCTGTGGTGGGACATCAGAGAGAAAGCATGCCAGCTTCTAACAGCATGCTTCTAATTGAAGTACAGGCCAGTTGGGGAGAGTCTGCAAGTAAAAAGGGTGTATTTGGGAAGATTATTTGTTGCAGAGAAAACTGAGGGAAAGAATAATATATAATAGTTAAAGATTATCACAAAGTTGTTAATAAACTGTCCTCAATAACCATTGGATTGGAGAATTAGTGCAAGGTTTAAACTGTAAGAGTGAAGACAAGAGGGGCTAGGTATTAAAAAAGGTTCTTTTAGTTTTTAGTGAAAGCACTGGAATAGGGCTACAAGTGAGGGGGAAGGTGAAATCTTCAGAAGTTTCTAACAGGTTTATAAGGTGCACAGGATCCTGCCATTCTGATTGCCTCTGTGGGTGAGAGCAAGTATCACTGCTCTGCCTCCAGCCCCCATCATCTACACCCAAGCTGACCTCATAAATGACCTCCCCTGCAGTTTTTCCATTGCTTCATAAGCAATCCCATATTTCAAGGCAGGTTTACATACAGGTAGCTTAGTCAAAGGCCATCACCAGTTCAAGAGGGATGGGAGACAAAACTAGAGCTCAATGACAATACCTCCTCTCTGCTGAATCTTTCAACACGGTAATTCAAGCCAGATATTTGGAGGGGTTTGCAAAGCTTGTGTTTAGAGGGATGATTCAATCTTCACAGATCTCTGCTCCCACCCCCTGTTATTCACAGATGATGTTTATAAGCTTTATTGGAAATAAGACTGACATTTGTTCAAAGCCCTTTATTGCAGTTCCCCTTGCAGCAGGACAACTTTATTCCTTGCACCTGCTGCTTCCTGGGCCATGCCCAGGTCTGTGTGGGCTCCGCTACTCAGGATGAGGCCATGGCTCAATTCCTGTCACAGAGGGGCACTGACAGAGTCCCAACCTAGGTGCATCTTCTGGGGCAGCATCCCTGAGCAAGAACAGTGGGGGCAGCAGCTCCAGGCATTATCTTCTTGGAAACATAGAATCATAAAGGTTGGCCTCCTAGATCATCTGGTCCAACCATGACCCTACTACCAATGTCACCCACTCAACCATGTCCTTAAGCACCACATCCAACCTTTCCTTGAACACCCCCAAGGACAGTGGTACCACCACCTCCCTTTGCAACCCATCCCAATGCCTGGCTGCTCTTTCAAAGTATCTCCTCATTTCCAACCTGATCTTCCCCTGTTGCAACTTGAGGCCATTCCCTCTAGTCAGTCTTATCACTAGTTACCTATGAGAAGAGGCTGACCCCCAGCTCCCCACACTCCTCTTTCAGGTACCAGTAGATAGCAAGGAGGTCTGCCCTGAGCCTCCTCTGCTCCAGACTAAACAACCCCCACTTCCTCAGCCACTTCTCACAGGACTTGTGTTCCTTCACCAGCTTCATAGCCCTTGGAGCCTGGGACATGTTCCAGGGCCTCAATGTCCTTCTTGTAGAGAAAAGCAGCAGAGCTTGGCCACTGCTCTTCCCCTGCCCACCATTTCTGCCTGTCTTCCTTCTCAGGCTCAGCCCCTTCCATGACAGACTGGCCACAAGCCCGTCCCTGCACCTGTTGTTGGAAGAACAGAGCAAGTCTTATGTACAGACCCACGAGAACAGGAGGGGCAGTGCCAAAGAGCTAGGTACATTCAAAGCTTTTGATGCCATTCCCAGTTTCTCTTTCTCCCCCCCTCACTCTCCTGATCACAAGGCAACCTGGGACTTCCATTACCCCTTCATTTCTTCCTGCTTCTGCCAGGTTCTGATATTTCAGGAGTCATTTGCTCATCAACTTTCAGAATTTTTCCAGAGGTTCACATTGCTAACTGCAGCTTTTTACTGAGTTGCTCCTACTGGTTGTATTTAATATGGTATACACGTGCATGTCCTTCCATCAGGGCTGCTCCCCATCTGTTTAAGCTCTGTGCAAACAATACAAGTATTTGTTTGCTCATTACAACTTACACTGCTTTCCTGCACTTTTGTTACCAGAGATTCCCAGTATCATCACAAACACAGTAAAGATGAACAAATGCTAAGAGGAACAAAAATAAAATATTCAGGATTTGCCAGGAGACAATATTAGAGTATCAGTATTAGAGTGTCTTCTTTTCATGTAAGAGATTTTTAAAATAACATCCATGTGCATTAAAACCTACCTGCAGTCAAATAACCAGTGCACAGGATGGAACATGAATGATGTTCACTGTTCTAAGAAGCTGCTAAGATAGACAAAACCCAAAGGAGTCATTGTTTCCCCTCTACACTCTGCTCCAGAGGCCTTCCTTTTTTTTGCTCCTACCTACAGGAGCAAATGCTGAGGTGAGTAAGAAAAGCTATCCAAAGCAGGCAGCATGACGGGGATCACACAGTTGGGGCCATATCAAGAAGTAAGAGAGAATCAAATCAAGATCACAGAGCTGCAATGGGTGAAAATCTGCATGTTATCTTCAATTTCACAATAGTTGGCAACTGTATACATGGGATAATAATACAGAAACTGGAAGGTAAAGAAAAATATTGAAAGGCTTAACTTTGTCTTTCTTTGGGATCGATCTTAGTGAGATGTTGGGCACCTTCTGTGGTCTTCATTAATGCTTGGAGCTCATAAAAATGAACAGCTCCCAACATGAATGCATATCTCAGACACAGATGCTTATTCCTGTTCCTTATCTGGACAAGAAGTTTAATGGACACAAAGACAATCTCACCTACATGTCCTAGCATCTCCAACAACAAATGGCAAAGAAGGGAGCAGTGGACCTGCTGTGACTGAGAAAAGGGCATTCTCTTCTGAAGCAGTGACATCCATCCATCCCTGCAAAGCCTAAAGGAATTCTTGAGGATTTGTCATCCTACTGTTGAGGAGAGCTGCCTTGTGGAAAGGGCTGTGGCTACAGGCTGCATTTACCCCCAGGGCATGACTACAGCCATATGTTTAGCACTTTCAGAGCAGACATAATTTGGAGGGGAGGGGGAGAAGGAAATATGAACTATGTAATCACTGCACAGATAAACAACTGTTAATAAACTCCATAAGAATTGAAATTGCAATAGTTATTTGAGTATATAATTGACACTATGAATAAGACTAAGCAGATTATCTGCTGAAGTAATGTATATTTTCCCATCAAACCAATCAGTGCTGAATAATGAGTAGCATAATATATCTGGGTAAATATAAGCACTTCTTGTTTCTCTAAGATGACAACTAACTAATCAACACACATTCAAACCAAAGTATAAGTACGATTAAAAAAAACCACACAGATAATATGGATTCATTTGAAAAACTTAACCATTTGATTAGAGGCACTGGCATGATCTTTCCTAGTTACTCCCTTCTAGGATGGCAAATACATCTATCTGCAGAAAAAAGGCATTAAGTGATTGGAGGATAGATCAGAAGAAGATTCAGTTTTTAGCATAGCATTTTAAAATGCTTTAATTATGCTGTAATTAACAACCCCACATATTAAATTTACAACTATAAAATCTAACAAGGTGAATTATAGCAACCCACCCTTCAGAGCAGTACACCCTACTTTATGGATGCTCACCTCATTTAATTTGGTTGAAATAGGTGCTCCCTTTATCTACGAGGACAGACAGGTGGTGAGGCTCTCCCACTGAGTGCTGAACACCTGCCAACACATGCGAGGACACATTTAGAGACAGCAAATAGCTCAGAAGTGATTCACTGTGTTCCTACCAGCAAAACAAGAGAGCTCATTTGCTTCCAGTCTGGCAGGAACAAATACCACGCTCTTGGAAAGCTAGAAAATAAAGCTGGGTCCTGAGATGCGGGACCCAGTTTCACCAGTATTACACTGGGGTGGCTGTGCAAACCCCCAGCAGTTATTGGGGGGGGACTCTTTTTTCCTTTGGAGTTCTTTCCTGGTTTATTCCATAGCTCTGAATAAAATGGGCCACTAGAGCAGAGATTAAGAGGGTTTGTACAGGACTGTGGTGGCAAGAAACATTTTGTCCTATAGTTGTGCAAACAGTCTTCTTAGAAACTAAATTACTGTGGTCACTACAGGCTGTTTAATCCAGTTTGGGAGGAGGAATGGCTCCCTGGCTTTGTCAACATGTCACTTCTCTAAAGCAGCTGCAAGATGTCTTTTTGCCATGGATGTTACACCAGTGCCCAGAGTCACTGAAAACAGAACCAAAAACCTCTGACAGCTCTGCTGGTAACAGCTCTGTAGTCCAAGCTGGTTGCCCCTCTGACAGTTCCCAAATCTGTTCCACGTGGTTTCCAAGTGCTTCCAAGTCTAGCTGGAGACCAGTAACCAACTGTGTACCCAGGGGGCCAGTACTGGGCCCTGTCCTGATTAACATCTTCATTAATTGCCTGGATGGTGGGGCAGAGTACACCCTCAACAGGTCTGCAGATGACACAAGACCAAGGAGAGTGGCTGATACAGCATAGAGGTGTGTGGCCTTCCAGAGGGACCTGGACAGGCTGAGGAGATGACAGGGACTTCATGAAGTTCAGCAAGTGGAAGCACAAGGCCCTGCCCCTGGGGAGGAACAACCCCACGCACCAGCACATGCTGGGGGCACCCAGCTGGAAAGCAGCTCTGCATGGAAGAACCTGAGGATCCTGGTAGACACCAAGTTAAACCCAAGCGAACAAAGTGCCCGTGCCACAAAGGAGGTTAATGGTTTCCTGGGCTGCATCAGGGGTGTAGCAGTGCTCTCTTCCATGGTGCTCTGCAAAGAGGAGAGATGAGCTGGTGAGGCTTCATGTGAACATACCTGCTCAAAGGACAATCTGATGTTCCTTGGTACAAAACTTACTCCACAGTCTTAGCAGCTGTCTGGAAATTCCATAAGTTTCCTGTTAACAAGTACCTGTGCTGCACATAGTTCATTTGCACAGTTTAACAGCGTTTACTTCCAATAGTCCCTATTCTGATCCTCCTAAACAGTTACTGTATGTTACCTGACAGGCTGTGTGATCATGATAAATGACAATAGCAAAGAAGCTATCTTTTTTTCCTAGGAAGAAGGAATAATCTAACAGCTCAGGTGAAAAAAATCTTAGCCACACAATCTTAGGCAAGTGCTCATCATTTCATTATGGAACAAGGATAAACTTAGATTTCAGTGTGCACAGATATTTTCCATGGGAGAAATCCTAGGGAAAGAACCCACTGAAACCTGATGAAGTGTCAATGAATAAAAAGTTATTCCTTGGTAAGTTACTCCTGAAGATGATAGCGTTATCTTGTTCTTTGATAAAACAACTAACATTGGGTCAAACGAAATAAAATTAGTTAGAAACTTAAGTATGTTACTGCACAGCAGTCAAGGTCTCCTGGTACTGATGATCATAGACATGTTAATAAACCACTCATTATGCATAGCTTTTAAATTCAATGCCAGCGTTATTTTGCTTACACCCTTACTACCACCTCTGTAAAGTTACCTTCATAATTAATTTCTGCATGAAGGGCAATTCATTTCACTCATATTAAGCAATTTTACATCTTATGAGAAATAACCCAATGCCCTGTTCCTCAGCATACTTTCCATCAAGTATTTATGTGCAACTGGAGCCACTTTGTCTCCCTCTCTCCCCCCTCTCAGCAGATCTTTGCAAAGACCTCAACAGCAGTTGATGCTTTTGTTCCTGTTGCAGACTTGTCCACTTTCTGGTGCTTGCACTACCTCCGTTTTCACTACATAATTAGGGTCAGATGCTAGTTCCTTGAATTAAAGAGCATTTGAGCTCTCCTTCCAACAAGCCCTTCTACTCTCTTCTTGCAAAACAAAGCTGTCACATGCATTCTTTAGGTGGTGTTGGATTACATTACACCACTTGACCACACTCGCTGTGCTAAGATAATTATGCCAGGTATTTTGCTGATAAAAATCACCATGGCATTAATGTATGCTGTAGAGCTCTGTTAACTCATGACAGTAGAAAATCAGGTACTTTGTAAGAATTTAGGGCCAGAGACAATGCTCAAAGTTGACATAAAGGTTCTCACCAGGTTAACTAGCATTTCTGGAAGTCCTTCAACAAGACAGAAGTAAAGGGACCAAGGAATAAACAAGTTTACTTCCATAAGTTAACAGACAAATTCTCCCACTTACCCAGCTGTTCATTATCATCCTACAAAAATCAGCATCCTTATCAAGTTTTCACTTTGCAGGTGTGCCATACCACAGGGCAGCTCCTCCAGTATCCTCAAGCACCATTACTGGCAACACAATGAACAGAGAAATTATACAATGAATCAAACCCATTCGCTTGGGCTAGAAATTCCAAGAGGTTTGTAAAGGGATGGTCAGGAGAAACATAAAATGTTCATTGTTTACTGAAATAGACTACGATATTGACTTTAAAATGACTTGATTTACCCCATTTAAATGAAATGAAGTTTGCATATTGCTTGGATGGCACCACATGCTATTTCTTTCACCAGAAGCAGTGTGTAGCATGGTATCATTCCACCAGTGTGTTCACTTTGTACACTGATCCTACACTACAGCTTAGTAAAGTGGATGGCAAATCATACAACAGCCACATCTCTGGAGCTGATCAAAAGATTTGGGGGATTAATCACGCTTTTTAACTAACTTTCTTCATGTACTGCATACGAAGTGTTTTTCATCATCATAAAATGCAATCAAACCGCATGAAAACACTGTTCTAATGCAAAAATGAAGGAAGCCTCAGAAAAAAAATACTACATCATACAAAAACAGAATGCAACAATCTGGCAAATCTGTGTTCTCTCAAGGTGAATTGTTTTGTCAGCTGAGTGCTTGAAATGCTATCTAATGTCTCTGTGGAACTGGCTGAAAGAAACAACAGATGTCTCAGATTTTTGCCTTTCATGTCCTATTAAAATCAAAAGATTGAAAGGCAAACAAGGGGTTAATCATCATTTTCCTCTCCCTGGAACAAGTTCCTGTGAACACCGCCTACAATATGAGGTGACAGTAACTGGAAGATAACTGAAAGACAAAAAGCAATTTAGATAAAGATGAGCATTAATAAACCAAAGGTTTCACTGACAACACTATTCCCAAGGATAAAAGATAGAAAATAGCAGAGAAATTCTGCTTCATTCAGAGGAACAGCTTGCCGTGCCACTGCTGCCTTCAGCATAGCCATCTTGCATCATTCCCCCCAAAGCATTCAGCTGAGACATTCAGGCAATGCTCATGATCTGACTTGTGCTGGGTAATTCTGACTCGACTGTCTCATTCAGACCTGCAGCTGTGGCCTCTGATCCAAATCCCTGATCTGCAGGGATGGGAAAGGTGTTACAAAGTTGGTCTAGAGCTACTTTGAGCTCCTAGTTCAAAGCTTTCAGCAGAACTTTCCAATACCATCACCTGTCTCCACCTCATACTTGCATCAGCTCCCCACACTGTCTTGTATGCAAAACTGCAACATTTGCCCTTGTTAATTACATGCTAAACAGGAAATATTAAAATCTATTTCCCATTGCTATGGTAGCCACTTAAACTTGGCTCTAGGAGCCAAAACAACTGCCCCATCCCTTATTCTATTATTTCTCCTTCTGTTCCTGAATGAAGATGGATATGTAATTTGCATTGGCTATGCAGAGCAGTTCCTGATGAACACACAAAGTGCAACCCAAGCAGCATTTCCAATCCCATAGTACAAATCTGGGAAAAAAAAAGAGTGAGTGAGCACACCGGTGGGATCAGAAGTCCTAGCAGTGCCCCCTGTGCGTGTCCCTGTGCGCTTGGCATCGTGTTCCTGCTGGCAGGCAGTGTGTTGCAGGATGCGCTGCGCTGTCCCGCGCACAATTCCCACGGTGGCTCCTTCAAGCTGCTGTTTCCATCGCCATCCTCCCCATCGCTCGTGCTGCTGCTGCACATCCGTAGGCAAAGGGCCAAGTGTTAAACTCTGAATCATCGCTGGCTTCGTACAGAAGTGCTCGACAAAACGTTAGAGAAAAGCAGCCGGTGCAGGAGATCAGCCTGTTCTGCAGTAAAAGCCACTTAAAGAAGACGTGCAGAAGTCCAGCTGAGATGCTAAATAACAATCACACTGGTTTTGCATTCCTGAGCTGAAATTCTGTAGAGGAGTTCACACAAAATGGCTTAGCTTTGATCTTACAAATGTTATTCTTCAAATAAAGAAGCTGAAGAGACAACATTTCTTTCCCTGGCTGTTTTCATTTAAGGCCTAGATCCAAAGGTGGCGACACCTTGGGCTGTGCTGCGCTAAGTGCCTCTGAACACTGACAAAACAGTCTTTAAACCATTCAGTGAATGATCTCATAGGTAGTGCCAAGGGCTATAGACACTGAAAAAGGTTTGGTTAGTGGATGGTGTACTCCAGCAAACTTTTACAGAAGGCTAACCTGGGGACTGTCATTAAGCAGGGCTTCAGAAAAATTAAAATATACATACTCCTTATGAAGACAGCACCATGTTTACATAAAAATATCTGTGCATGCTTTCAGACTACATGAAAAGCAGGTCTCCTAATGTCAGGTACATGTCATTGTAAGGGCCAGTATGCCTTTGCTTATAGCATTGCCAAAAATACAATGATTTAGACTCAAGATTTCAGTGGCAAGTTTCTGCCTGAAGGTGTATTTTGGGATTATTTCGGTGTTTATATTGCCACTTATTTTGGATACCTTAAAGAAATATCATCCCCTGGTTGAGAAGCTCTAGCATCTCACCCTTGCTCTTAAACACTAGCCAGGGATGCCTGCAGTATTCAGGAGATGCTTTGGCCACAGTTTGGCTTTACTATTCCTGTCTGCCTATCCTTCCTCCAGGTTTTAATATGCTAAAACTTTTAAAATAGCATCCAGATATATAACCTAAGCATTACCCAACTTTGAAGTGCTTAGAAATTTGTTGCCACAGCAAGCCTGGCTTGTCTTACCTTATCTGTACACTTGAGGATGCAGCCTTTGTTACATTATCCCATTTTTCCCTGTGGGACATGCCTTATTCCTTCCTCTGCCATAATTAACATTAGCCCTGTCCATCTTATTGCAGGAACTGGAAGATGTACAATTAAATACAAAGCCTATAAGAGGTAGTTAATGCAACATGCTATTAAAGACTTTTTTTTAAGCTAAGTTTACTGTTTGTTATCTAAGACCTTTACATTGTTTGCTGACAATACAATTCCATTTTCTACATTGAATGTAGATTTTTTTTTTTTTCAGGAATACAAGAAGGTAAGGTCTAACTAAGCATGGTTTTACAGTAAAAGTTAAAAACATTTGTCCTCATAGTGGTAAGCAGTTGTACATGTGAATTAAAAACAAAACCGAGTACATCAGGTGTTACAATTTTTTGCACTTTTCAAAACAAAGCATGCCAGCTCAGCAGTCCCAGGCAGAATAAGAAAGCACCACCTGGCTACTTACAGAAAACCCATCCTGCTTCCTAATACACCAGGAAGAAATACTAGGGGCAGATCAATCCTACAAGAGCCACTTGAGCCTGAGCATGATGCCACAGAGCCCTGGTGTTGCAGAGCTACCTTTGAGCACAAAAACCACAGCATCAGCCAAGCAGGTAGCACCCTGGCTATGGTAGGAAAGAGCCCCATTTCTCACCGCAGGCTACCCTGTAGGACTACTCTCAGGAATGGTGCTCCGTGCTCTTCTGTACATGCTGATCCACAGCTTCAGCATGTTTTCATTTTCCATTTGGATTTTTAGGTATTTCTGAGACATCTTCACACTCAGTAGGCAAGCAGCTTGTATTCCCATCAACTCTAAACCACTCAGGAAGGGTAGCCAGAGCATGGGGTAATAGCCACATGCCCTCTTATGTTTGATGTAGTAACGCACATCTGCAAAGCTGTCCCTGCTGTGAGAGGCTTGCACAGCTCAGTAACACTGGCAGAGCTGTTCTGGTCTCTGCCAGGAGGAAACAAAAATCCAGTAGGATGAGCTTTCCCATGGCTTTCATTTCTGGAGCATCCAGTTAGCGAAAAGCCCTAAAGATGGTGATCTCTGGAAAAAGCTGAGCATTTATCCACCCAAAGTCAGCTAAGGCCTCTAGGTGGTATTCTAAGACAAACACAAAATTGCTGCCCTTTCAAGGAGACCGAGTTAGGTGCTCAGCATTGCAAATAAAAGATTTGGGTCTGAGCGCCCTTAACAAAGGATCTAATCTTGGCAGTTCCTCGGGGGAGCAGGAATTTGCAGTGGCAGGTGCAGGAAAAAGGAAGCAAAGGGGGAGCACAGCCAAGGGGGCATTAACCCCTCTGTTAGCCTGGGCTGGTGCAACACGCATTCCTGTCTCGTGGCAGGGTTACAGCTGCAAGTTTGAGCAGGGGGAGATGCAGAGCTGCCTCATTCCCTGCTGTCACTGCAGTCAGGCTGTCCTTCCTCATGGCCATCCTACAGGCTGTGCTACACCCCCTGGTCCAGCTCCAGGAGCTTCGCAGACTAGCTGGTGGAATAGGCCTAGCATTCCCCTTCCTGACCTACAGCCACAACAGCTTTTGCTAAAAACCCTTCTGCTACTCCCAGCAAACACGAGCACACCTTCACACATGCCTGTCTGGAAACAGAACAGCCAAGGACAGGCAGTCTTCAGTGAACAGCAGATTTCTTTGGAACAAATGCTTGGCAAAAAACACTTATATTTTACTTCCATCAAAAATGATGTCTCTTTAACTAGCATGTGCTTATCAAGCTAGTACAGAAGGCATTCTGGTGCAGTTGGTAAAAAAAAAAAACAGGCATTTGTGTACTGTGTGGGACACAGTCCAGCTTGAGTAGCTGGTGTGAACAGCATGTTCTGCCCCATCAAAGCAGCACTCATCTTGCACAGAGGAACTAGCAGTATTTTATGGAAGTAAGGGCAGATCCTCCAACCCAGCCTGCTGACAGGAAGAGGCTGGGAACAAAGGCAGCGTGCTGAGGTGAGAGGCACTGCCTGTCCCGGAGTGCTGCCGCCGCTGCTCTCAGAGCTCCCCTCCCTGCAGGCTCTGGTGTAAGCACCACAGTCTGTGAGAAATCTGAAGCCCATCCAGATCTGATCAAGTCCTTGACACACACACACTGGTGAGCTAGTCCCTATTCTTACTTTTGCTGAAGAAACATGGACTGTACTCAAAAACCACTACAAATTCTGTTCCAGCGTCAACTCGTATATACAAGTCAGCAGCACAGACAGATGTTGCCTTTCAGCCTTTCTAGAGTTTTGTTATTTACACTAGCAAATAAACCTGGACCCA